TTCTTTTAAAAAAAAGAAACAATTGCCGCGCACGGTGCTAGAGTGTTCGGGTTTCACTTGAAGGAAAGGTGCTAACCCTAACACAATGCTTTGTCTCAGTGATGGAAGGCATGTAGAAGGGTTAGAACATCCCATGTTGTTATTCACAAGGCACATAGACACAAATTGGACTTCTCTCCTTGAATTTCAGAGCAGCACAGCTCAGACTTTTAGAATCGATCCTGCTGGACTCCACGTATCTGAGTTTTACACAACTGTGCCCTCGTGGTTTGTCTTTTTGTTGTTGTCCGGTTGTTATTGCTGTCTTTGTCCCTGTTGGGGTGATTGCACTACATACATGAGTTAAGATCTCCCATGCGTGGACCCAAAGAGCGATACAATCTCACCCAGGATTCACACATTATACCAGGTAAATGAAATGTAAACAAAAGTGTATCTTGGGTGAAAGTTGATTAAATCTTTGGGAAAAACATTTATAAATAGACCCCTCAGTGTACATGGAAATCCTGTGATCATTAGACTGTAAACTCCTCTGCTGGTCAGGTAATAATGTGAATGGTTGTATGTACTCCATACTCTGCATGATATGTTGGCGCCATATAAATATGGAAAACAAATTTGTGAAAATGGAGGAAATTTGCAGATTTTATACTTACATCCTGTCCTCTCTTTGACTATGTGAGTTAGGTCCCAAGAAGTGAACGGCTCTGGAGCAAACAGCAGATTTAGCAGGTGGGAGGAGGAGAACAAGAGGGGGCAGAAGGGCATTAATGTACACAAAGTTCTGATACCAGAAACAGTGCCTGTCCCATGCTGCCCTCCACTGTTTGGATAAGAAATGACATGTGTGAACAGAAACATTACTATAATATGTAAAGAAGAATTCTCACAAAAAAAATGAAACTCTTAGTTAATCCTCCAGGGGACCAAGTGAATTTAGCACTTGGTTCCCATCAAATCCGTCCTGAGTTTGCTAAGCAGCGTGGTCGGACAGTTTACCCACCACTGTCCGACCAGGCTGCTAGCAAGGAGACAGAATTTTGAGTGACAGCACTAGTCTAAAGGAAGCAGGGGCCGCTCTGGAGACCAATGCTGACATTGACATTAGATCATACAGCCTGTGGGCTGTGCGTCTATCTGTGGCTGCATGTAAATACCCAGCCCCAACAGATAACAGTGAAACATTGTTTAGCTCTGCAGGGCTGTGTGATCCATCTGTTGGGGCTGTGCATGTTTATCAGCAGCTGTAGATAGACACAGAGCCCTGCAGGATTCAGTGATCTTTGACTAATATGAATGAATGATCAGGGATGCGGTGCTCCGTGATAGAGCTGCCAGTGCTCTGTATATTTTCTTGCAGTTGGTAACTCTATCACACAGCCCAGCAGCGCATAGAAAGAAGCCGAGGGGCATTTTTCTCCCACTGACCAATAATGCCAAGCATTTTTCTCTCGCTGCCTCTTTTCACAAAGACTGGCATTTTTTGGGTCCGCAGCATATACTGTTTGGCAGGGGCATTGCTGAAATTGTAAAAGACTGTGGGCTCCTATGGGTACCCTATGGAGAACAATCATATAGTATGCTTAGCGGCATAGCTTAAAGAGGCATAGTTAAATAAAACCCAAGTCTACTCATATGCATGGCACACATATGCGGAAGGCCTTGCATCAAAAAAAATATACATTAATTGCTTAATATACTGTCGGAGGGTTCCTTACAGGCTGTAATCGACAATCTGTCCCCACTGACACAGATCGCTACAGCCTGTAAGGAGAAACCACTGACAGTCTGTGAGGCTGCAGCGGGGAGAGCCCCTGTCCCAGCAGATAACTGTGTGATAACCGTCCCGGGCAAAGTTATCTGCTGGGACAGGGATTCCATTTCTCTTGCCTTGCGCTAGCGCTGGGACTGCTGCCACTGTTAGCGGGGGGGGCACACGGGGGGCAAGTGATAACCTAGGGGGGGGGGGAATTGCCCCCCCTTGCCCCCCTGTAGCGACGCCACTGGTTAGGAGTATGTAATGCACAGAGTGCCAGGTTTAGGAGTACAGAACACTCAGAGTCCAGAGGTCAGGAGTAAGTAGTGCACAGAGTGCCAGGTTTAGGAGTACATAACACACAAAATACAGAGGTCAGGAGTATGTAATGTGCCGAGTGCCAGGTTTAGGAGTACAGAACACAGAGTCCCAGGTTTATGAGTACAGAACACAGAGTCCCAGGTTTATGAGTACATAACACACAAAATACAGAGGTCAGGAGTATGTAATGCGCAGAGTGCCAGGTTTAGGAGTACAGAACACACAGAGTGCCAGGTTCAGGAGTACAGAATACACAGAGTGCTGAGGTCAGGAGTATGTAATGTGCAGAGTGCAGGTTTAGGAGTACAGAACACAGAGTGCCAGGTTTATGAGTACATAGCACACAAAATACAGAGGTCAGGAGTATGTAATGCGCAGAGTGCCAGGTTTAGACGTACAGAACACACAGAGTACAGGGCTCAGGAGTATGCAATCCACAGAGTGCTATAGTCAGGTGTGCGGAACGCACAGGGTTCCAGGTTTGGAAGCACATGGATTTCTATAGGCCGGCTGCATGCAGCTGAAAGCACACCTGCCACTAGCAGCCAAAGAAATACTCTGGGACGTTCCCCGTAAGGCCCTCTTTCGGCTGCATGCAAAAGCCCTCATACTGATGCACATTATAAATTAATTTATCTGCAATGTAAATCTAGTTTCAGAAGATAGGATTATAAATGTGTGCCGTCAGTTAGCATTGCCTGCTATGGCACCCGGGCCTATCAAATAATACATTCAGTTCACAAGGCTGACGCACAAGGATACAGATATTTATTTATTTTTAGAAACATTTATTTAGAAACAAGTCCAATGAAGTTTGGAATTTCCAGCCATGATAAGATCCTTATCATTGTGTTAAAGTTTTGTGATGAGTCTTGCGGTGGAGTTTATCTGCAGCGATATGCACTGAATCCATGTCAACTGTTCGGGTGTTGCAGAACAAATCAATACATCAAAGAGGCCTTGCACACGGACGCAAACACATGCAACAAAAATGCGCCGGTGTTTGCAGCGCCCAGGAGCCCCAGCTGTTGCGTTTTTGTGTCCATAGGATTATATGCAGCAGCTGGGGCTCCTGGGGGCCGCAAATGCAGGTGTACTTTATGCTGTATAGCTATATGCCTATAGTTGTACCTGTGTGCATGAGCCCTTATAGTCAGTCTGTCTCATGTGTCTCTGCTCCTGTTTTGCATCGCTGTGTGCACAGAAATATAATATAGGATATGAAGAAGTTTCATTGTTACTTTTGATTGTTGCAGAAGTCTTCATTGATCAGCCGCATTCCGGCATCTTCATGAATAGGAAGTACAAGCCTGCCACCTAGTGGGCACAGAAGTCAATGGCGGTGGTCAACATACACCTCTATAGCTCATGATTGATCATTTTCCTGGGATAGGAAGTAAGGGGAAATCTCCTGGGGCGTCCCGAGACCAGGTGTCACCCGGAGCGGAGACCGGGTGACACCCCGCCGTGACGTAATCGTGCATGCGTGTGACATCACCACGAGCGTGTGCGATGACGTCATCGCGCATGCGCGGTCATCTAATTGACGCCTGCCGGCAGCCATCTTGGTGATGGACGCCTGGCTAGGGTTGCCACCTTTTCTTCAAGCGAAAGCCGAACACTCTAGTGACGTGCAGACATTTTTTTTGGAGAACGAGTCGCGGCTTATTCATATGTAAATAGCGCCGCCCATTCATATGCAAATATCACAGTTGAGACTATTTTCAGTGGGGGGCCAGTAGCCCCTACCTTAGTTTTGGTTGCCCCTGTCTGCCTGACATCTTGTGTCTGGGTTTCTGCTGCCATGAAACCCGGACACAGTATTCAAAACCGGGACTGTCCGGGTGAATCCTGGACAGGTGGCAACCCTATGCCTGGCAGAGAGAGGAGGAGACGTTCACCCAGCGGGATGAGGTATGCCGCCGGATCCCCTCCTCTCTCCTGACACTGTCGGGCTCTCGATCCATGACCGAGTGCCCGACTTTTTAGAGGGGGTGACACCAAAATAACTGTCAGACATTTTGGTGTCACCCCTCCAATGGTTGTTAAAGATGTCACTAGCACACCATATGTCCCGGGTGCGGGCTGCACCCCCCTTCTGACGCCACTGCACAAACCAAAACCCATATTTAGTTGGTAGGGGAAGGGTTAGAAAACACATGGTGTCTGCACCTTCTTGTCCAGGTGACAACTGCATCCCCCTCATGTCTTCTCCTGGTGTCAAGGAAACAGGAAGTGAGGAAAAACCTCTCCAATGGAGGTCAAAGGCAGAAATAGAATTTACTTGCTGTGGTTACGGCAGGAACCTTTTCCTTTTTCTCCTTCTCCTTTAGGGTTGCCACCTGTCCAGGATTCACCCGGACAGTCCGGGTTTTGAATGCCGTGTCCGGGTTTCTTGACAGCAGAAACCCGGACACATGATGTCAGGCAGACAAGGGCCACTGAAATTAAGATAGGGGCCACTGAAATTAAGATAGGGGCTACTTGGTCCCCCACTGAGAATAGTCTCAGCTGTGATATTTACATATGAAGGGGCAGTGCTATTTACATATGAATAAGCCGCGACTCATTCTCCCAAAAAATGCGCGCGCGTCGCGAGTGTTTGGCTTTCACTTGAAGAAAAGGTGGCAAGCCTAGCAGGGGTAGGCAAACTTTGGCCCTCCAGCTGTGGGTGAAACTCCAAATCCCATCATGCATCTGCCTCTGGGAGTCATGCCTGTGGCTGTCAGTCTTGCAATGCCTCATGGGATTTGTAGTTCCACAACAGCTGGAGGGCCGGAGTTGCCCACCCCCGCCTTAAGGTCTATTGACATACAGCAGGTCACAAAGAAGATGCAGCAGGTACAGCAAAATGTGACTTTAATATACAACTCCAGAGCTGGAAAATCCATAAACACGTGAAAAACAAAGGAGGAAATGGTCCGTGTCCTCTTCACGGGACTTTCCGGAAGGTCTGTGTGCTGACCACGTCTCTAGCGGTGAGTTCCTGGAGGGAGAGAGACAAAGTCAGGTCAAGACACAGCATAATCTAGGACACGGGGGTAGGCAAACATCGGCCCTACAGGTGGTGACACTACAAATACTATCATGACTTCACCTCTGGGGGTCATGTGACAGAGTCTTGCAATGCCTCATGGGACTTGCGGTTGCACCACAACTGGAGGGCCGGAGTTTGCCTACCGCAGGCCAAGGACTTAAAGGTCTCTCTTACCAATGCAGTTCAGTCTGACCCTGGAAATAAGTATGAAGGAGCATGTGACCTTCCTACCATGATGGAGCTTTGGGCCTGAACTGCGTCACGTGTGGTGGAGAGAAGGTCATTAAAGTCTATCATAGTAGAAAAGGGTCAGCAGCCCGTTCAATTTTTCTTCTGCTGGATGTAGAACGTAACAAGGGCGCCACACCAGCAGTGATAGAGTCTACAAGGATGTAATATGGAATGATCAACACCACCACGTTTCAGGGGTTCACACACTCCCCCTTCATCAGGGCTGAAGTATAGTACGACTTCAGCCTCACCTGGACTCAAAGCGTTGAAGAATATTTACGGATCTCATAAATAATGGTGATATCGTATAGTGATATCGTATAGTGCGGCATGGAGCACGTCCAGCAGCGACTGCGCCTCTCTCAGTACTGGTTTCCACGAATCTGTCCTTTTTTCTTTAAACTTCAGCGGTGGAAAAGGCACCAAATGATTATTTGTAACATCTTTGATCACATTAATCTCACCACGTGCAGCACGTCGCCGTCCAGCCACTGTTTCCAGCCACGATTCGGCACCTCGCCCTTCTGCACGCACACCAGCTTGTTACCTTCCCAGAACACGGTCGTCTAATAGAAAGACAGACATGGGATCACCGGAGAACTGGGAGATACGCGGGCTTAGTTATAGGTGAATGCGGGTACAGGAAGATACCGGTCCATCTGCCTGAAATCCAGTGAACTCCTAACTTCCTGCCACACCCCCAGTTATATATAGTCAATGGACACACCCCCTGCCATGCTCCCAGTTATATATAGACAATGGACACACCCCCTGCCATGCTCCCAGTTATATATAGACAATCGACACACCCCCTGCCATGCTCCCAGTTATATGTAGACATTGGGCACACCCCCTGCCATGCTCCCAGTCATATGTAGACAATGGACACACCCCGTGCCATGCTCCCAGTTATATATAGACAATGGACACACCCCCTGCCATGTTCCCAGTTATATGTAGACAATGGACACACCCCCTGCCATGTTCCCAGTTATATGTAGACAATGGGCACACACCCTGCCATGTTCCCAGTTATATGTAGATAATGGACACACCCCCTGCCATGTTCCCAGTTATATGTAGACAATGGACACACCCCCTGCCATGATCCATTGGGTGGGTTAGTGAGTAGGGGGGGCGTATTGTGGAACCTGGCCTTGGGGCCGCAGGTGGAGTAAATCCGGCCCTGTATATAGACCAGGGATGCCAATACTGAGTACTTGGGCCAGTATTCATACTCGCCCAGATGCTCCGGATACTTATCCCGCTGCCGGAACTTCCAGTATCAGGTAGCGGGGCGGCGAGTCATTACACGCCACCTGGCTTTGTAATTGTCCAGCTCCGTGCTCCCTCATCACCAGGGAGCATGGAGCTGGCTTCCCGGCCAATCAGGAAGTTGGGCGGCGTGTAATGACTTGCTACCCGGCTTCCTGATTGGGCGAGAAGCTGGCCAATCAGGAAACCAGGTGGCTAGTCATTACCCACCCCCCAGTCTCCTGAATGCCCAGACTCCATGCTTCCTCGTCACCTGATGACGAGGGAGGATGGTGTCAGTTCCCGGCTAATCAGGAAGCTGGGCAGCGAATCATTACACGCCACCCGGCTTCCTTAATGGGACTTCCGGTATCGGCATTCGGTATCTGCGAGTACCAAAAAAAAAATATTGGTACTCGATACCGAAAAACTGGTGTGGGGAAAATTGACAATGGACACACCCCTACTACACCATTAGTTATATACAATATATATATATACAGTGGGGCAAAAAAGTATTTAGTCAGCCACCAATTGTGCAAGTTCTCCCACTTAAAACGATGAGAGAGACCTGTAATTGGCATCATAGGTAGACCTCAACTATGAGAGACAAAATGAGAAAACAAATCCAGACAAATCACATCGGCTGATTTGGAAACTTTTTACGAACTCCCATTGGCCTATATGGGCCACTTGATGCACATCGACAGAAGAAAAAACATCCTGGGACTAATTTCTAAGGCGCGCCACAATGGATATCAAGCAGACCCATCGACGTCAATGAGATGCCAAGTAACATGCGTTTTGATGTATCACATAGGTGTGAACAGGTCCTTGATGTTTCAGAGGATTACCAGCTTGGAAGATGTAAATATTAAGGTGCATTTACACCTCTGCTTTGTTTATAAGCAGGATGAGTTAGGTGCCGTCCTTCTGAACAGAACCATTCTCATCTTCATGTATTTAGTAGCATTAAAATGTTGCTAATAGACTCCATGGAGGTCTTCTTCTGCCATCACTCCTCTATCACATCAATGTTTCCTATGAAGAGATGGCCAGCTGTCATGAGAAACACCATAGGTTTTTGTGTTCTGATCATCTCCCCTAGGTGTCTGTCTAGCACAGGCAAATGACTAGATTGCAGTATTATTTCAGGTTCCAGTAGGATATAATGAGGGGTGGAGACATTTTTATTGATAAAGATGTATATTTATATTCCACGGGAAGGTTGTTTTGTTTTTTATTTGAACAGCTCTGCCATCTTTCCTAGCTCTGTGCAGAGTGAATAGGGTGTATGGGACTTATGGCAATATAATGTACATGGCACAATGGAGCTGATATTCTTTCCTACAGAATGTAAACCCTTCCGAAATACCCAATGAACCAACACAAATAAAGTGAGACCAGCATTAAAGGAGAACTATGAGGTGAGTGCTTTTCACTCACCTCATAGCTCTAGCCGACCTGTGACAATGAGACTGTCACAGGTCGGCTCAGTAGATCGGGAGGTGAGCGAACACATACCTGGTCCGCTCACCTCTCGATCCTGTCACGGCTCTCTGCCGTGGCAGGGGAGGGGCTGGATTCCCCCCTCCCCCCTCCGATCCTCCAACGCTGACTGGCGGATCGGACGGGGGAGGGGGCGAGTACAGCTGGCTCTGCCTCTAGATAGGCAGAGCCAGCTGTCAGTCACACAATTGTCGGGATCCGCTTCAGCTGCGGCGTCTCAGTATACCGCGAGCTACAGCTCGCGGTATACTGAGCCTAGGGTGATGGGAGGACGCTAGTTTGTGTCCTCCTGTTACCCTAAGGAGAATTATGGGGAAAAGCCTTAACTCCATAGTTCTCCTTTAATACAGCATGATTTGATTATTTTTGGGGATACCTGCAAAACCAAAAATGAATGCGTCCTTTAAATATGAATTGGTCCACCTCAGAAGAGTTGGCCTGGATAAGGGAAGAACCTCCACCACTGACCAAAGACATGAGATCCTTGACTGGAAATAGCCAGACTGGACAGCCGTCGTCTACGTATTATGTGTACCCTAAAAGGTTCCCATCTGCATATCTACCTTGCAGATTCGTCCATCAATGATGGCCAGGTTCTCTTCAAACTCCTCGCCCAAGTTAAAATCCATGATGTAGTTTTTGAAGGTGCTGAGGGTCTTGATTATAATGTGGTTCCCGTCCACCACAAACTCTTTTTCCGGTTTTAGCATAAGCACGATTTTCCTCAATGCCAGATTAACATCTGGAAAGAAAAGACAAAGCCTGGCTTACTTTAGGGGCACCTGAAATCACCGGGGGGTGGGGGGGGTACATTAATTTTAACTCTCAGTACACATTACAGTAGTCCTACATAGTGCTACGCAGTGCAAGGACAAGGTCCTGTGGCACTCAAGTGAAGATACCAAAGTAAGAACTGCCTTCATACCAGCCAACCTTCTGAGATGAAAAAGAGGGACACCTTTCAATGCAAAGCCAATTTTAAACCATTGTAACAAATTGTAACAAACTAACTGACCGCGGGAGTTAAAGTCCTTGACGTGATATCCATCACCAAAAATACCCGGTATCTGCCCACACGGCCCCCAGCTGCACAACACCGCCTCGGGGACTTGTAATCTTACATCAGATACTAAGTAACTAATGATGGACCCTGTGGCAGTGCATGGCAATGCCACGGTGTAGTATGGCAACTTTGGCGCCCAGGACTCTCAGCCAGAGGGGCTGAGAGGTTCCACAACGTGAATACCTTTGGAGAGGAGGAACTGGCTGTTCAATTCCTTCCAGGTTTTCCAGACTATAGTGGGATGGGATCTCCAGTCCTGGGGCCAGGTGTTGCCAGTGGCCAGGTTGGGCTGAACAGGTGGCTGAGAGCAGCCTTATTAGGAAGCCAGCCCAGTGCTCAGAGGAGAGTTGTGGGTGTGCTTTAGGCACACGGCTACAGGCAGACGCTGCTGCGTGCGTGAGCACAGGTGACACAGCCAGGAAGGCTGGACATCCAAAGGGTCGGTGACACTGAGATACCTGTCGTGGAGACAGAGAGGGACAGTGACCCACGAGGGGTGAATGCTAAAAGGCTTGGAGCTGAGGAAAGCTGCTGAGAAGTGTATTTCTCAGTCCTGGGACTATCACACTGGGAGTGTATGGGACAGCCAGATGTCGGTGAGACCCAAAATATGATGTGTTGATGAGAGTCCAATGAACTGTTATTGTTTATTTATGCTGAAGAAAAGCAAGTTGTTTTGTGAAGTTCATGAACTGTTCACCTTTTGAATGAATAAAGACTGTCCTTTCTATGTTAAAGTCGGCTTCAGGAGTGGTCTCTTAGCGCTCACCATTGTGCTATATTCCCCAAACTATCACAACCCGTTAAGTCAGGGATGCCATACCAAAGACGGCTCCCCACTGTCACTTAAACCTCAAGCAAATATGTTGCACCTCAAGAACCCCAATACCCTGCCCGGCTGCAGTGACAAGACAACATGATAAAACAGATAGAAAAAACAGGGATCCCAACCTGAAAGAAGCACTTTCAGGGAGGTGTCCCTCTCATTTCCGGGAGGTGCCCCCCCCCCATCCACGGAGGAGAGGTTAGGGGGCTGGGAGAGAGCAGACAGTATTCTGACAGTTGCAGTCGTCAGAATAAAAAAAAAAAAGGCATACGATTGCATAGCTAGATTCCTATTGGCTATTGCACTTTGCAATAGCCAATAGGAAACTAGGTAATGCACCCGCCCACTGCTGCTTTCAATCAGCAGAAGAGGACCTGATAGAAAAATTCAGGTCCCCCTCTGCTGATTGACAGCAGCAGTGGGCAGGTGCATTAGCTAGTTTGCTATTGGCTATTGCAAAGTGCAATAGCCAATAGGAATCTAGCTATGCAATCGTATGCCTTTTTTTTTCTTTTCTGACTGACGGTCGGGCCGCGGCTCCCGATGTCAGAAAAGAAAAAAAAAAACGATCGCAGGGAAAGGTTTAATCTGCTTGATAGAGCAGATTAAACCTTTCCGGGAGAAAATGTTTCTCTCCCGGGCGGCCGGGAGCCGCTATCTAATAGCGGGAGACTCCCGGGAGAGTTGAGATGTCTGAAAAAAGGACAAACTAGAGGAAAAGGTAGAAAACAAGAGAAAACACAAAGGCAACCAAACAAATATGACAAACAGGGCGGGAGGACGGAAGCGGCTTCCACGCTGAGGACCCCACTGAGACTGACCTTTCCTTCCCAGGGGTCCAGCTATCCTCCTCCTCCTCCTCCGGCACCCTGACCAATCAGGTAAGTGACACCACCCAAAACCCTTTGAGATAATAATTTAACCCCATCTAAACCCTAAAAGCCTCTCCAAGACCCTGTCACGTTGGCCCTACACAGACGCCTCCGTCTGCTGTTCCAGGCCTGACTTTATTCTTCTAAGCAAAATTTGTTCTTCAATTTTGGAACTAAAGTGGTTATAACTCATTAAGTGATATTGATATGAAGGCGCTAGAATGAAGGAACTTTCTGGTACAAATAGTCTTTTTTAACTCTACACTTTTAACACTACAAAAACAAACTCAATTGTAAACAATTTACACAGAAAGAGAATCTCAACCTCCCCTTGCTAGAGTGGCGTATCCAGGGTATGCTACATACGGGCATCTCCACAATCGTCTCTTAGCAACCAGGGACACTCTGCCCGACATCCCGCCCAGCTCCTGGCAACCAGTGACATCATGTGCTCTGCATGTTCGGCTGAGCCGAAGTGCAGAAGGACTTTGACTGAGCCGAAGCTTCGGCAGCTCGCTCGCTGCCCTTTGCACCTATTCTCATAGGCGCTGAACAGCAGTGAGTGAATAGCCGAATGCCGTAGGGCGGCATTCGGCTTGGCTGTTCTGCTCGGTACCTCCGTGGTACCGAGCAGAATAGAAAAAAGTGAGAAGAAAGGTAAAAAATAAATAAATCGGAAAATATTTTAAATAAAAAATCAATTTTAAAAAAAAAACAATTGGGCGGAGCTAGCGGTGACAGCTAGCACCAACTAACTGTTTCCTACTGACCGCCACCTGCCAGAGGCTCCACCCAGTTGTTATTGTTTAATGATAGATCAGCACACCCAGGTCATTTGGGGATTCTGATCTGTCATTACAACTGGGCGGAGCCAG